CAAACTCCCAACTGAGTCTGGGAATATACCACCCTGCCTCAAAAGGAAAGCTGCAATAACTCTTTTTGATTTGTGTAACGCATATCCACAGTTCCATACGCCAAATACGTTCAGCCTCTCAGTTATTTGTAGGCTGACGAAGCCGATGCACAGGGTAAGTCAGGATGCATTAGACCTACTAAAAACGCCACTATTGCAGCCAATCTTTATGGCTCCAATAAATCCAAGTTAACTGAATTTACAGTGTACATGCTGATCACTTTCACAGATCGAACACTTTCACAGATCAAACACTTGCACATATCTGATGGCCGTTTTTCTGGAATTTGCAGCCATCCAGCAGCTGCTGAGAGTGACTGCTATAATGTAGCTATGATCTCAGTCAGGTTGCTGCTCATACCAAAATCTTTCCATTCAGGCAACGTCTCTGGATTTCAAATTTAAAAAGTATGTATGGAGTCAAATATGGGTATAAGGCAGCCATCAGGCAACAAAAGAATGGAATTAAAAACATTGTATATAATTTTGAGCATCAATAATAATTTTGTCGAAAGCAAAGCTTGCTAATGATGTTTGCACAACAGGAAAAGAAGGGTTTCCCATATTGCTGTTAGCTGGCAACTGCTGCATCGATGAAGAAAAACCCTATTCAGCTTTTTCTATTGCTGAGATTTTGCTTTGCATTAAGCACAAAATGTCACAACTTCCAAATGTAACATGACAACCTAGAGCATTTTCCTGTAAATACAAAGATGGCCTTTGAAAATAATTACAGAACAACAAAAAAAAGAGATGGAGAGAAGCAAATCTAAAAAAAAACACTTAAAATATTCTTATGTGTAATAAAAAGATCCCGTATTTCATATCAGAAGTAAGAACCTTCTGTTTCTACTGAAACCAATGACACCACTGTTATTACCATCAATGGAATTGGAGTTCTTTGTTTTAAAATGCCAGTAGGCATCCAGCTGGTTTGTTGAAGACTGCAATACACTTCCCTTCTATGAATATGGCCACAGCTAATCTCTGATACAAATCCAAGTTTCCTGATACCCTTTCATAATAATTGGTCACCCAAAGAGCTGGTATTCATTGCAGTGATACCAATTAGAGCACAGTGATTTGCTACATATAAAAATCTCCCAATTCTTTTGATAAAATTCTAAAAATAAGACATGTTCCTCATTACAACTTTGACCTTTTTCATTTATGCTTTTACATTACCTCCCATCACGATTACAGTTTGACTGGAGGAATTACTTTTCCACTGTGCTATCAAGCTTTCTAAGATAATTTAAGTTTTTAACATTATTGTTAAAAAACAACCCCAGGTTCATCCCATCACTCACTTTGTGGATAATACTCATTTTCCTGCACCTCACCAGCAAAGGGAAACCAAAAGACAGTACCTATTTTCTGTGAACTTAATTTAAGATGAAAGAAACGCACAAGAACTTGCAATAACCTTCTGAAAACGCCACATGGGTTATGATCACTTCTCCTCTTTTTGACAGGATGTAAGCTAAACCATTTTACCTAGATTTGATCTGACTTCGCTAGTGGTTGGTAAGCTGGACTAATACAGAACTATCACACTCCCGTGCACACTTCACAACTGGTCTGTAAAGCCTCTGCCAGGTCCTTACCAATAGCTAAGTCTGCCCTTAAAGCTGCCTTAAACTCAAACCCATTCACCATCTACACTGTAAGGTCTTAAATCCAGCTCCACCTTGAATGACCTGAGAGCTTTCCAGCTTTTGCGATCAGTCAGCTCCCTCTTCCCTCCCAGTCCTGACATGGTTCCAACTGGCTCAGAACCTACTCACACCTGAGCCTGGGGTCTAGGGAACTCACCAACGGCACCTTGCAGTGATCGCTCTCTTCCTAGATTCCAGCTCTTCCACACCCATGCACTACTGCCAGGAAAGACAAAACTGATCCTGGTTTACATGTCGGAGAGGGTAGGCTGCATGTTGTGATAAAGGTGGGTTAACAGCAGATTCTGCAGCTCAGTGATCGAAGACAGCTCTCCAGGATCTTTCCAGTTCCACGGATCCAGTTCCGTATACTCACCTTTAATACACACTAACTAATCTTCTCTTCCTTCAACAAGCTCTTCTATGAACTTGCTTCCTTGCCCTATTTGCCGCTGTGCAAGTACTCTTTTCCTATACGTCTTATCTCCTCCCTCCTTGCTTCCAAACACAAAGACATAAGGAACAAAAAATAAAACACAGATGTACAGAACCTAGGTTCTGTGAAAAGATACCTTCCCAGAAAAGGTTTCCTGCTGCTTCTCCTTCATCATCATGTCTGTCATCATCTACCTCATCTACTCAGTTCACTGCAAGGTTGTCAGGAATGGCACTAATAAGATTATGCTCCAGTTCCCAGGACCACATTCATAAAACAGAACACTTATGATGCTAATCACTTTCTTCAGGAAAAACACCATCTACCAGCTGAGGGTGGGCTGGTTGGTTGAATTCTTCTTTTTAAAAAGCAAGATCAAAATATTACAGAGTTATAAAATCCCCAGTTCACTGCAAGTTCCTATTTAAGAACCACCTCAAAACACAATTGTATCTTGAAAACAACACAATCCTAGATTTATCTTCCTAGATCAAGATATTCAGAGGAATATTACTCAAAGACTGAACAAGAATTACTGTTCAGCTTTTCTGGACCATGTGTCCAGCACACAGGAATAAGAACACTTTTGAGGCTATGTATTTACTTAGAAAGCAAAAAGGTTATTTAGTTATCAAGCATTCCTAGATCCATGAAGTATCTTCCAATGCATCAAGCAGTCATTCCTTTTTTCTTAAAACATTAATTGGAAAAAATACTTGAAAATATTTGTCTTCTTCACGTTGACA